TCTTACAAGAATGAAAGAAATGCAAGTGGGATTCCAAGTAACAATATGTGCATTTGCAAGTAGGAAACATGAGGAGAGCATCTGCCAAATCCATTCTGGCCTCGTTTGATACTATCTCACTGATCTGGGTCCAACTTACATTTGTTTCTCTCTTTCTTTCCCTCCCCCATTTCCTCGTCGTTCCAGAAGCATATAAAAACCATAGCAAAGAAGCTGGATAGAATTTCCAAGAATACACTGAAAACACTGTCCAATACGGGAAGGGCTATCTAGTCCAAATGTTAACTTCAGTTAAGAAAAATCTAAAATGCTAAAACAAATCTTTCTGGAATTGGGAAAAAAAGAAACAACATTATCTAAGTATTGATTGTAAAAATCAATAGATTTGTGGGGAGAAAGTCTCAAAAGAACTAATTAAATATGCCTTTTAATCTGTGCTTATGCACAGGGCACTATAATTTAGTATGAGTCAGCCTTGAAGCCGGATGTACTTTTTAATTCAAACTTATATTTAAAGTCTTTAATTATGTTCAATCCTGCTTCTAGCTTTTGTTCGGCAGCACTGATCCCTATCTGTGCGACCCTGACGCAAATCAATCTCAGGTTTCTGATACTTATAGTATAACACCATCAGAATGGGGCAGGATTTTTGAAGCTCCATAAACTATGATACTGTTCTTGACTTCTATCTGCATGTGAAATCTTTAAAGTCTAATCTATGTAACTAGTATTTTCTCTCTTTTTTGAGATGGAGTCTCACTCTGTTACCCAGGTTGGAGTGTGATGGCACGATCTCAACTCACTGCAACCTCCACCTCCTAGGTTCGAGCAATTCTCCTGCCTCAGTCTTCCCAACAGCTGGGATTACAGGCACACGCCAACATGCCTGACTAATTTTTGTAATTTTAGTAGAGATGGGGTTTCACCATATTGGCCAGGCTGGTCTCGAACTCGTGACCTTCTGATCCACCTGCCTTGGCCTCCCAAAGTGCTGGAATTACAGGCGTGAGCCACTGTGCCTGGCTGGTATTTTCTTTTTTAAAAGAAATAGTCAGTTCCTAATCAGTCATGCTTTTAAAAGATCAAAGTAAAAATGACTAATTGATTTATACTTTTAAAATCACCTCAGCATTTTCCCCTTATGGCGGTATTTTACAGCAGCCCTATTTCTTTCCTTCCAACTTCTTGGTGAATTAAGGGACAGCACCATAGCAGTACAACAGTGAAGAATAAATAACTTTATAAAAAGTCAAACGCACAGGCTAAAATATCCTGTCTTCTATTTCTAACTGGATATCAACTAACAAATAGTACCAATGAATATTTTCATTCTTGTATTTAGGGGCTTAGGCAATAATCCTACGAAGTCTAGTCTGTAAGTCGCCTGTCATCCCACCCCTGACAAAAAGAGAAGACTAAATAACTGTCTGTGTCAAGCCTTGTGTTAACCTAGGAAATATCACAGGAATATTGTGGTAGCCTATCTCACAAGTTCACACTCTAATGGAGGAGATACATTTAACAGACAACGATGATTCCATGTGATGCAGGTTGTTACAAGACAAGGACAGGGTGCCTGAGAAATATACAGGAGGGACTGATATGCTTTGGCTGTGTCCCCACCCAAATCTCATCTTGAATTGTAGCTCCCATAATTCCCATGTGTTATGAGAGAGACCCGGTGGGAGATAACTGAATCATGGGGGCAGGTTCCACCATACTGTTCTCATGATAGTGAATACGTCTCACAAGATCTGATGGTTTTTATACGGGGAAACCCCTTTTGTTTGGCTCTCTCGTTCTCTCTTGCCCCTGAAGTGCCTTTCGCCTTCCACCATGATTGTGAGGCCTCCCCAGCTGTGTGTAACTGTGAGGCCATTAAACCTCTTTTTCTTTATAAATTACCCAGTCTCAGGTATGTCCTTATTGACAGTGTGAAAAGGGACCAATACAGGGACATTTAACACAACCTGAAAAGAAAGGATTTCAGGGAGTTCAGAAGAATTTCTCAAAGGAAGTGACATCCAAAAGAGACTAGAAATAAGTAACTACTTTACATCCACTAGGATGGCAATATTTAAAAAGATTGACAATCACCGGTAATGGGAAGGATACAGAGAAACTGGAAACCTCATACAATGCTGGGGAGAATGTCAAAGGGTACAGGCAGTTTGGAAGACAGTTCACCAGTTCCTCAAAATGTTAGCACTGAATTACCCTACGATCCAGAAAGGATGCTCCTAATACATAACAAAGAGGGCTGAAAACAAACGTCCACACAAAAGCTTCTACGAGAATGTTCATAGCAGCATTACTCTAAACAGCCGAAGTAGAAACAATTCAAATGTCTCTCAGCTGACGAATCAACAAACAAAATGTGCTCCGTTCCAAAATGGACTATTATTCAGTCATAAAAAAAGACAAAAAATAGCAATTCATGCTACCACGTGTGTAAACATGGACAAACCTTGAAAACTTAGGCTAAGTGGGAAAAGCCAGACACAAAACGTTACAAATTATATGGTTCCATTTACATAAAATGTCCAAAACAGGCAAATCCTTAGATACAGAAAGTAGATTAGTGGTGTCCAGGGAGTGAGGAGGAAATGGGGTACATCTGCTGATGGGTATGGGGCTTCTCACTGAGGTGATGAAATCATTCTGCAATTAGATGAAATTAGATCATGGAATTTTAGATCATAGTCATGCAATTTTGTGAATATACTGAAAAACCACTGAATTCTACATGTTAAAATGGTACATTGTGTGGCATATGAATAATCTCTTGATTAAAAAAGAAAATATAACAGTGAGTATATGAAAATATTGAACAAACGAATCAAAAGGAAGAAAAAGAAGGAGAAAGTGACAAAAATGATAGCTGATAAGGAGAAAGGAGAAACTGAGGTGGGGGGTGCTTCAGCACAAGGAGGAAGACACAGGTTCCTCAGCAGGAAGGAGGGGGAAGATCCAGAGCAGGAAGGAGGGGGAAGGTCCAGAGCAGGAAGGAGGAGGCAGATCTCAGAGTAGGAAGGAGGAGGCAGATCCCAGAGTAGGAAGGAGGAGGCAGATCCCAGAGTAGGAAGGAGGAGGCAGATCCCAGAGTAGGAAGGAGGAGGCAGGTCCCAGAGCAGAGAGGAGGAGGCTGGTTCCAGAGCAGGAATGTGGAGGTGGGTTCTGGCAGTTTCCAAGCAGGAAGGAGGTGGCAGGCTGCAGAAGAGCAAGAAGGAGATGGTTCCGAAGCGGGACAAAGGCGGTGGGTTTCAGCAGTTTCAGAGCAGGAGGAAGGAGGCAGTTGCGAAGCAGGAGAAGAAGGAACTCAGTGGGACTGCGATGCGCTCTGCCTTCCACTAGTGACAAAGCACAGAATGTGAGTGCAGGTTAGTTGTGCGGGCCTGGGGGCAAAACGTGAGGGAGCTGCTCTCTTAAGCTTCTTTTCTGACTGGCAGTTAACTGGCAACTCGGAGGCGTAGAAAGTTCAAGGTGAATGGAGGACGTTAAGGACAACCTCTGAAGAACAGGAGACACGGATGAGAAAACAGGCCAGTGATTGGACGTTTCCCACCATTTAAAAACAACAACATCCATGTTTAACACTACAAAATAATTCACTTAGGAACAGGAGCACCTCCAGAGAGACTTTCTCCCCGGGCCGGTCTCCCGGCTCCAGGCGGCAGCCCTAGTGCCTGCTGGCCTTCACAGAAGCAGGCATCTTTCTCGAGATTTTCCTGTTCAGTTCACCAACTGCTCCAGGCCTGTAGCAGGCTGTTTCTTAGTTTATGTGTTTCCTCACATTTTAGGATTTCAGATTTAAGATTATTCCCGGCTACTGTAGATATCAAAAATGGCTATGAGACCAGGTGCAGGGCACACCTGTAATCCCAGCAATTTGGGAGGTTGAGGCGGGAGGATCGCTTGAGCCCACGAGTTTCAGAACAGCCTAGGCAACATACTGAAAGGCCCATATCGGTGTTAAAAAATGGAAACCAAGTCCAGGCATGGTGGCTCACGCCTGCAATCTCAGCACTTTGGGAGGCCAAAGCAGGGCAGATCACGTGGTCGGGAGTTCGAGACAAGCCTGACCAACACGGTGAAACTTCATCTATATTAAAAATACAAAAATTAGCCAGGCGTAGTGGCATGCACCTTTAATCCCAGCTACTCAGGAGGCTGAGGCAGGAGAATCACTTGAACCTGGGAGGTGGAGGTTGCAGTGAGCTGAGATCGCACCACTGCACTCTAACCTGGCGACAGAGCAAGACTCTTTCTCAAAAAAATCAGCCAGATATGGTGGCATGTGCCTGCAATCCCAGCTACTTGGGAGGCTGAGGTGAGAGGGTCACTTGAGCCTAGGAGTTTAAGGCTGTGGTGAGCTAGGATTGTGCCACTGCATGGCAGCCAATTTAACAGAGCGAGATCCTGACTACAAAATCTGAAAAAAATAAATGGATGTGAAGATGCTGCTTTTTTTTTTTTTTTTTTTTGAGACAGAGTTTTGCTCTTGTTACCCAGGCTGGAGTGCAATGGCGTGATCTCGGCTCACCACAACCTCCGCCTCCTGGGTTCAGGCAATTCTCCTGCCTCAGCCTCCCGAGTAGCTGGGATTACAGGCACGCGCCACCGTGCCCAGCTAATTTTTTGTATTTTTAGGCCAGACGGGGTTTCACCATGTTGACCAGGATGGTCTCGATCTCTTGACCTCGTGATTCACCCGCCTCGGCCTCCCAAAGTGCTGGGATTACAGGCGTGAGCCACCGTGCCCGGCCGTGAAGATGCTTCTTACGGCGCTTTTCATCGCCGTGAGGGAAAACAAGCTTTCTGATTCATTGTATCTCATTTTTCTCTGTTTCTAATAGAAAGCATTTCATAATTTTTTTTCCATATCAAGAAACCAGAATTCGACTTGATATGTTCTAGATATTAAGACATGTTGATGATCTTTATTTTCTATGCTTTGGTAATAAGTAATTCATACTTAAATGAATAAAACTAGGTTTTACCTTCAGTTGGTAAAGTTGACCTCAAGTCTGAGCTGAAGATTTTCTCAGAAACTTTCAAATCAAGATCTACCTCTCCATGGGTAAGAATAATGGAGTGACTCCACCAGCAGATTTTACCTACAGAAAAGGCAACAATTTATTAGAACTTTGTGTGAAGGAAAGGTGCTACATAGTAACTACTAAATCACATAAACATACCAAGTCTCCAAATAGTACTAAATATTTTTATTTCTAATCATTAGACAACTACATACCAGTTAACATTTTTTGAAAGTTTCCTGTATTGCTGATATTTTTTCACATGTAACCGTATTTGTTTTTTTTTTTTTTTTTTTTTTTTTTTTTGAGATGGCGTCTCACTCTGTCGCCCAGGCTGGAGTGCAGTGGCACGATCTAGGCTCACTGTAACCTCTTCCTCCTGGGTTCAAGTGATTCTTCTGTCTCAGCCTCCTGAGTAGCTGGGACTACAGGTGTCCAGCACTATACCCAGCTAATTTTTGTATTTTTAGTAGGGTTTTGCCATGTTGGTCAGGCTGGTCTCGAACTCCTGACCTCAAGTGATCCACCTCGACCTCCCGAAGTGCTGGGATTACAGGCGTGAGCCACCACGCCCAGCCCTTGTTTGTTTCTTATCACTGATACCATTTTGCAGATGAAGGAAACAGAACACAGCCAGTAAACGACAGAGTCACGATTTGTACCCAGGGATTCTGGCTCTAGGTCCTGAGTTCTTAATCACAGAACAGCCTTAACACACTGTCTTCACACAGGTCCGTATGCTCTAGGAAAGAGTTTTACAAGTTAGATGGTCTGAGGAATCCTAGACGGTTTATTCCCATTTGATTGCTCGTGCTTCCCAAAATACATAAACGCCATCTAAAATTCAAAATACTACAGTCAGGGGGAGATAGTAACAAGAGACTGCATCAAGGGGAGACAAACTGGGTATTTCACATAGAGGACCAAGCAATAGGCTGTGTGTTAACCATGTATCTGAAACACTCCTGTGCCTAAAACTTATGTTTTTTAAAAAAGGCTAGATGACCACAAATCTGCTTCTGGTCCTAAAATAGAAAGCATTCACTGTGAAACCCTCGACATCCTCCTTCGCCAGTCCCTTTGCTTCTTTCTGAGTAGTCATTCATTACCCATTCTTCTAGGCTTTCATCTAAATCTCTCTCTTCTCTCCCTCCCAATTGGTCTCTTCTTCCACTTTACACTTCATTAATGCAGGTCTAGTCTAGACAATTCAGCATTTATTAGGATAACAGACAACTCCATTTGTTCCTTTGAACCTTTTTAGAAACGAAGCAAAGCATAAAGAAATAAAAACGCATAATGCTCAATATTCTCTAAGTATCATATATGATAATATATCATGAGCTTGACTAGAAGCCCTTTCAGGAAAAGCAACAGGCTGGAGAACCCAGAGAGAGCGGTAGGATGCTGGGTGCACGGTGGACGGCACCGACGGGCAGAGCCGCTGGGGGCACGGTGGACGGCACCGACGGGCAGAGCCGCTGGGTGCACGGTGGACGGCACCGACGGGCAGAGCCGCTGGGGGCACGGTGGACGGCACCGACGGGCAGAGCCGCTGGGGACACGGTGGACGGCACCGACGGGCAGAGCCGCTGGGGGCACGGTGGACGGCACCGAGGGGCAGAGCCGCTGGGTGCACGGGGGATGGCACCGACGAGCAGAGCCGCTGGGGGCACGGTGGACGGCACCGACGGGCAGAGCCGCTGGGGGCACGGTGGACGGCACCGAGGGGCAGAGCCGCTGGGGGCACGGTGGACGGCACCGAGGGGCAGAGCTGCTGGGTGCACGGGGGATGGCACCGACGAGCAGAGCCGCTCCCTCCTTCAGGGATGTTCCGTGTTTGCTAACTCAGTGTGCTGCCTACATTTACTTACACTTGCAAATAAGTAAACATGTTGAGATTCAATATGTGAACTTGAAACAAGGCCTGCAGTCACTATATTTTCTAGGTATTTCTGCCAAAGTAAACGTTTTTCCTTGAATCTTGACTCTGATTCTCCAATCTTGTTTTCTTTGTCTTTTGCTTTGATCCTGTTGCTTCTGCTGTTCTTCTTGAACATTTAAAATGTGTGCCTTTGCCCATATAAAGAGTAAAGAATCTCTAAGGTGTGCTTGGGCGTGCAAGCTGGCTTTGCAAATCAGAAAGCATCTTAAAGGATCAGTACATGGTGTTAGTATCCAAAATCAACGGCAGGACTGCCTTTCTATCATCAGAGTGTGAGGAGGAATCAAACTTCCAACAAATCGCCATATGAAATTTCTCTTAGCCTAACCTAAAGTTTCCCTAACCTTTCCTATACATTTTTTTTTTTTTTTTTGCTTTGGAAATGTCCTTTATTAGTTAGTTATTTATTTTTAATTTTACTTCAAGTTCCAGTGCTGAACGTGCAGGTTTGTTACATGGTGCGTCATGGTGGTTTGCTGCACCTATCAACCCATCATGTAGGTGTTTTTTGTGTTTTTTCTTGAGACGGAGTCTTGTACCATCGCCCGGGCTGCCGTGCAGAAACCTCCGCCTCCCAGGTTCAAGAACTCTCCTGCCTCAGCCTCCCAAGTAGCTGGGATTACAGGTGCCTGCCACCATGACTGGCTAATTTTTTGTATTTTTAGTAGAGATGGGGTTTCACTATGTTGGCCAGGCTGGTCTCGAACACCTGACCTCATGATCCACCCCACCTCGGCTGCCCCAAGTACTGGGATTATAGGTATGAGCTACTGTGCTCAGCCTGTCACCTAGGTTTTAAGCCCTGCATGCATTAGGCATTCGTCCTAATGCTCCCTCCCCTCTCCCCACCCCGACAGGCCCTGGTGTGTGATGTTCCCCTCCCTGTGCTTCACAGATTATACCTATACAGTAACAGCAGCAACGATAATATACAATGAGGATAATAACAACAGCACAGCATTTACTCTAAGCCAGTGCTCTTCTCAGCACTCTGCTGGTAGTTATTGTTGTTCTTGTGACAGAGTCTTGCTCTGTCACCAGGCTGGAGTGCAGTGGCACAATCTCGGCTCACTGCAACCTCTGCCTCCAGGGTTCAAGCAATTCCCCTGCTTCAGCCTCCCAAATAGCTGGGACTGCAGGTGCACGCCACCATGCTCAGCTAATTTTTTCTATTTTTAGTAGAGATGGGGTTTCACCATGTTGGCCAGGATGGTCTTGATCTCTTGACCTCGTGATCCACCCACCTTGGCCTTCAAAAGTGCTGGGGTGATAGGCAAGAGCCACCGCACCTGGCCTCTACTGGTATTAATCAGATGGTCTGTACAACAGCCACTCGAGATAGGTACCACTGTGACCTACATTTTATAGATGACATGAGAAACAGAGAGGTCAGTTCACTTGCTCAGTCACACACTGGTAACTGGTGGAGGCAGGATTTGAGCTCAGGCAGCAGGACTCCAGAACACCAACTCATAATCCCATCATTCTAAAATACCTCATCAGTATCTTAACAATGGCCAAAGACACTCCAAAGTTCCAACTATGTTCCCAGTCAAATCAAAATTTCTGTAACTACACAAATGAAAACAGACGTCCAGAAAAGTCCCTGTCTCCTAAAACTATATTCTTCTCTGCACAATAATCACAAAAAACCAGAACTCAAAGTCTAATTATTACACCCTGTAAGAATCTTACAAAGTCCAGAATAAAAAAGAAGTCAGAAACTTTTCCTTTTAACTTTGTAAAATGAAGTAAAAACTAAAAACTAAGCTTTCCTGTACAAATTATGTCTTTTTATTTCAAATTAATTTCAAGCTTCCAGAAATGTTGTACAAGCTGTTCAAAGAACTCTCATGTACAACAAAGTCACAGAAAACAAAAAGAACTCTCACATACCCTTCACCCAGAGACCCCAATTTGAGGTAGGCCAACTTTCCCAGTAATGCTCTTTCTAGTCACAGGATCCATTTCAGGACCACACTTTCTATCTAGTTGTCATCTCTCTTCAGTCTCTCTTCGATCTGGAACAGTATCTTCACCTTCACCACCTTTAGATTATGGAAGGCAGCAGGTTAATTATTTTGTAAAATGCCCTTGAACTGGGATTAGAGATATTTTCTCACGAAAAGATCTGAAGATGGCATTGTTTGGAAGTGATGCTGTGTTCTGCTCATTGCATCCCATCAAGTGACACAGAACGCTGTGTGTCCCATCACTGCTGAGGAGACCTTTGATCACCTGAGTAAGACTGGGTCTTCCACGTGTCTCCGGTAAAGCTCCTGTGTTTCCCCTTAAAATACGTAAGGATTTGTGAACAGATACTTGATGGTTATATAAAGATGCTGATCCTCGTCCAACTTTGATTCACTAGTGTTAGCATCCATTGATGCTTCTTACCTAAATTAATAATTACGGTGATGACTGCCAGATGGGAATCTCTCCAATTCCAGAATTCCTTCTATGTATCAGACAGCATTCTATTTTAAGGCAGAACTTCCTCCTCTCCCCCCGCTTTTATGCATTCATTTCTTTATACCAGTGTGGATTCATGTATTTCTTGTTTGTTTCATATGACATAATCCATAACTATCATTATCATTTTGGTGTTCGAATTGTTCCAGGTTTCGCATGGGTTTAGTGAGAATCCCTTCAAGCTGACTGCTGTGTCCTTGTGGCATCTCCCATTATTAAGAGTTTCTGAATCTTCTGTCACAAGACACTCAGGACTCATCGTGTACCTTTTCTGTCCCAGCTCTAGAGCCACACATTTTTTTCAAAGACCCATAGTTGCTTGAAGCAAAAACTGGAATTTAGAAACTATAATCTGGGTAGCAAATGTGCTCGTATTTATTGGGCTTTCACTGCAGCCTGGCCCTTTCAGTAAGCAGAGTTAGGAAATGGGTATGGGGTGTGTGTGTGTGTGTGTGTGTGTGTGTGTGTGTATCTAATTATTCATAGACATGCATATACTTTAATGTTTATATTATTTCTATACTGAAATTTCTATATCTCTAAAATTTCTACATATTAAAATCCACACATTCACAATGAAACCTTAAATTCCTATCCACGATACAGGGTTCAATCTAGCTCTCCCCATTTTTATATCTGTAACTGTTCACCCACAGTAAGA